TGTCCTGTCGATATATGTGCGAACACATTCTGTAGTGTGCTGTTTGTGTATAGAAAGTATATCTAAAAGCAAACACACATCAAAAAAAAATTCTTGTTGCAGAAGGTTGAATGTTTGTTTGTGAACAATAACCAAACACAAATACTTTGAATAATTTCAGTAAAGGGATGTGGCTTTCATCTTAACCCTTTTTGGTTGTTTGTTAGCGCAACTACAACCTTCGATATTCCCATTCTCAGTAGTAGTAGTGGTACTTATGTTAGCAGAGGTATTTCGCTTCTTTGCCCTCAGCTTCAGCAACACACAGCAGACGCTTCATTTTCAATATCTGACGTCTCCACCCCAACTGCATTCAAAAAGACAAACCCCAAAACTCACCATCCTCTGGTTGGCTTGCCTCTTTAAGAGAACTGGCCTCATGCGTCCCAGACTAGTGACCTGTTTTTCTAGTGTGAACATACTGACATACTACCAAAGTACACACCAAGAATAAACAATTTACTTTTTAATCAATTGGTTTCCAAGGTTCACAAGTTGCTATTGTTTATCACCTCACTATTAATCTTTGTAAACTACACAGATTCTGGTTTTAAAAAATAATTTATAGATTAAAACATCCTTAATTTTAACTTCGATTCTTATAGTGCCAAAATCCATTCCTTTACTTAAAAATTCCAAACTATTGTTCCAGTAATTTCCTATTAGTAATCTGATATCCTTTGTACACTTACAAAAAGATTGTATTTCGTGTTCAAAATTAACTTTCTGTAACCTTTACATTTCCAAGTTTTTACAGCGTATTAACCTCTTGATTATTCGAAAATGCTTCTCTTTCACTTGGTGTTTTGTTTTACAGCTATTTTACAGCTCCTTTATTATCATTATTTCAGGGGTGATATTGCCCCTGCCACAACAGTGCAATACTGAAGAAATGTATCATCACAGGACTTGGAACCAGTCTCACAAAGATACAACTTCAGTGGGATGGTCATGTAGTGAGAATAGATGTGCATAGAAGAAGAGGGTGGATTGAACCACCCTGTCAAGCTTGGAAGCAGAGATCCATCAAAATCCTGCTTTAAAAATTTCATCTGCCAGTGTGGCTCTGCTCCCACAGCTGGGCGAGTATCACACTTAAAGCACAAGAATGTCTTTCCCCATACCTGATTTTCTTCACAATAGCCCCTGCTAGCATGCATGTGTAAAACGAAAGGCAAAATCCACCGCTGACCCTCATTTATCGTTCAAGATGGAGAGTCCAATACATACAAAGTTATAAACATATGTATGTTATAACATCACTACAAAAATTTTTGTAGTGTTATAATATGCATAGGTTATAATTTTGAATCAATATTTGTTCTATTTACTATTGAGCACTGTTCTAAAGAAGATTCATAGATTACCTTAGTGCTTTTTGTGCTGGCAATATGTGTATAAAACAGGATACAGAATCCAGACAAAGTTTGAATATGACATTGAAAAATGTCAATGTGAAATGCAAGCATAGCAGAAAAAATACTGAGGATTTATTTTTTTAGGCATACACACATTCTCTTTTCTTTTGTATTTGATCTGATGAAGCATAGTATGGGTGCAACAATCTAGTTTCAATGAAATTACTTTCCATTTGTCATATTCTGTCATTTTCACCATGTGATATCTTGAGATGTCCAAATTTGAGACTTCTCACAATGCAATATGTTATCTTTGGTCTATTTAATGACTGTACACTGAGCTTTTCCACACAGCAATACAAACAGGAACAAATAAAATCATGGTATACAACTCAAGCTGACCAAATCAGTGAAAAACCTTATTACTAACTTGCATATCTGTATCAATATTAGCACAAGCCAAGGTTACAAAGTAAAAGATGGCATTTATTATAGCCATTAATGGTCTGCTCATCACGGTTTCATTGTGAAACAAAGAACTGATCCAAAGTGGATTTTTCTATTATTCTTCAGTTGTCTTTTCTTGGATGCATCTATAGAAGTATGGTATCTAGAGACCAAATTATTAGTCATGCTAGGAAGTCTGACAAGCCATGCCAACTATACAAGTACTATTTTGAATAAATTTACAGCATATTCAAAAAATCAGTAATCAATGTTATGTGACACCAAGCCATTGGCCCGTGGTCAACTCCCAGTCACAGCGCGAAGCTGTAAGGTTTCTTCTACTGGTGTTTTTGGGGCTGACTCTTTGTCACTACCACCAGTCCGTGTCCTTGTCGTTCGGTGGTCGTCACCACTCGGCGGTCCAGGGTCGAATCCAGTGGTTATGGAACCAATATGTGGCACCAGGGACAAGTTCTAGTCGTCTTTGTTGATGGCTTCACCAGTTGTACCGGTTCAATGCCAACTATTGCTCCCAGCTCACTTGCAACGTCTGGTTACTGGAGTAACTGCTTCGATCTCAATTCTAACCTACCCACATGACTGATCTTAGGTAAACGAGATCAAACAGGCATCGGGCCGTAGTGTAAGCAAAGTCCAAATTGTACTTGTGCAATGCCACCTTCAAAGAAAAAAAAAAAAAAAACAACAAAAAACAACACCCAAGAGTTAAGAAATAACAATTTAACTTTATCCTTCTATTATATAGAGGAGCGTATTTTTTTTTCCCAGCCCGCTTCCTACAAAATGTGACATTTCTATGCTTCAAGCAAGTTGATATCATAAGTCAATTAATTTAGTTTTTAAGTGCTGGCTTAACTGCGTTCGTCAGTATAACTTGCTGTTGGTAGCATTGGTGAAGTCGGGGGTCATGGAATCTCTTTGTCAGCTTCTGCGAGGCAACACCCTGGTTCAAAACCAGCTCAACTCAACTCAACTCCAACTGCTCAATGACCCATCGACGGTCGTTTATATGGGTACTGACTAAAACCCGGCGTGTAGGCCCGACACTACCTGGGGGTTCTCAGTAATCAATTTTCCTGTCCTGACAAGAAATCTGTTATCAGGACAGGAAAATTTCTGCCGTTCATGAGGAAAGGTCGGAGGAGAGCTATCCTCCTAGACTCTCACATTGATATCTCATACCAATCCCTTCAGTGGGCATTAACATCTGCCGTCTTTCACATCCATTCACCTCTGCCTATCATCATGCTACCATACAACCAATGATCTCTCAGAAGTGTGGGTGTGGCTAAGCTGGCCTCCTTAAAATTACAATCTAGAATTTTTGTTTATAAAATTCTCCTTGCCAATTAAGTTTCTTTTATCACATGTTCTTTTTCCTTGGGTCACCTAAAAATCACTTATCCAGCACTCTTACCATCTCATTAATTACTGTCAAAGTTTGCCATCTGGTTCTTTACACCAAGTTAGCCTTATCATGGAATTCTTGACTTAAGGAATTAAATTATTTTATCTCGTCAAATCTCAATTCTCCACTATTTTCTGGAGATTGCCAACAGAGACTAAGACATCAAATGGCAAAGTAAATGATAATAATCTTCTCACCTGTATAGAGACAATGCCAAAATTTTATAACTGCTTCTCTTCACCAAGAGAAAAAAAAAAAAAAAAAAAAAAAAAAAAAAAAAAAAAAACAACGATATCTTGGAAAGAATTAACATTGATTCTCACTGCCTGTATCAGCACATGTTTTGGCCAATAATTTCATATTTGCTTTTCTTTCTATCGCCCTCAGTGATACATAAATTAACTCTACCAAAGAAACCCGGAGAGAGCTGTGTCCTGTAAACAAATTAAAATCTTTTAACGTTGATCAGTCTATCTTTCGTCATCACTTTTTTTTTTTTCGTTTTAAGAAAGTCTATTTTCTGTTTTAATTTCTATGGTTAATTAGTTAGCCAATTACCATAGCTAAGTAGTGTCACAATTCATTGATATACTAGGCAAAATATACAAATATCACATTAATAACCCAATACACAACATTCCAAAAACTTGTTAACATCAAAGTTTATTTCTATAAAAACTAAAGTTTTCCTTATGGAATTGTAGAGAAAATAATCAATATAAAAGAAATCAAAATGCAGAAAATAATTATAAAATTGATAAAAAGATACTAGTATCAGAATAGTTCAAAAATAGTGAAAAGTAAATAAAAGACTTTATGGAAATAAAACCAAACAGTAGGGAGGAAAGCAAGTTTAATAAAGAAAAACTAATAGATAACATTTGACTCTTGAAGTCAGTGATGCTGTTTATACATTACATTATGATTTTAGAGATAGATAAGCATATGTACTAAATGTATAAAAAAAAAAAAAAAAAATTTGCAAGACATTACAGTGGAAAGTGATCAAGATTTTGGCAAAAAGGTAATTAAAAATGGCTGCAAGACAACCCCCCACACCACTGAAATTTTAAATATCTTACAATTGAGAAAAAGATTACTGTCAATTTTAATATTATGAAAATTCTCAGTTCTTAACTGGTTAATATTTGAATGTGTAAATGGCTTCAGATTTCTTCATAGGCCAACTATGAAGAAATCTGAAGCAGTTTAGTCATTCAAACATAACCAGTTAAGTCAAAGTGCCAATGCATCTGACCACTAAAAATACTGCAAGCTGAAATTTATAATGTTGGAAAAAGTCAGAAATTAATATATGTATTAGTATAACAATATCAGGAGTTGAAGACTTAGCAATAGATGGTACAAGGAAAAAAATTGAATGTTTAGAAAATGAGATGAAAAAGTGTAAAGTATAAATTTATTTTTTTATTTTATTTTTCATTCCCCTTCCCTTACAGCTTCTGCATGAGCACATTACAAATTGTCATCTGCAATTTAACAAAGAGATGACTTCCATTTACAGTTCAAGTTTTCTTGCAGCAGAAAAAAAATTTCCACAACCTTTCAAAATGTTTCACAATCACCATTTCAGTCAGATACAAGTCACTTCTTATACAAACACAATTACCCTTAGTATAATAGTAAAAGAAGCAATATGTTGAGAGAGAGAGAGAGAGAGAAAAAAAAAAAAAAAAAAAAAAAATGTCTGGATATAAGCAAAAAAATTATTGCACTGGTAAGTGGACACCTGGAGGAAGTACTGGAATTGGTGTGGTACAATTTTTCTGGATCCATGGATGCTTCATGACACCTTCCAGTGACAATCTCTGATGAGGATCATGTCTCAGTAACTAGAAAACAAAAGAGTTGAAAAATTTGAATACATTCATACTTTAAATTTTACCAACTTAGAAGAAAAAGTGATTAACTGATTTAGTACCAGTACTTTTTTTTTTTTATAACTTGGCAGTGCTATCTTTTGCCAAGAAATATTTTACATGTGTGAAGTTGACTCACTTCTTTATTCTGTGTATAATCAATTAATGTTGCTGATAAGCCATAGGAAAAAATCTTGAGCTATGAAAATAGATTACATAAAGACTTCTAGGAATTCAAAACTACTTTTTTCCTTCTAAAATTATTTTTGGGCAAGTCAGTAATGACCAAAAAGATATAGAAAACATCAAATAGAAGAACAGACAGCCTCCAAAATAAATACAGGGTGTGATGGATAAATTGTAGTCTAAATTACGCAAAAATGAAAATAGTAACATCTCATTTTAACAGATACACAATATGAATATCCATTAGCTCCAACCATGCCATCTAGATGACTTATCTCTTGCACAGTCTCCTTGTTTAAGTTGGTAAATGCTTCCATAATCCTTGCTTTCAGTTCATCTTACAATCAAAGGGTTGTAGTCTGGGGAGTTATGTGGTCGCACTAGTTGTTCAACAGCCATGACTGGGTTTTCCTGCTTGTGTGGCATCATGCAGAGAGTCCTGTTGCAAGACAGAGGTTCTTCCAGCAGCCACCCTCTTGACCTATTCAGGATACATGATGTAGGCCTCTGTGTTGAGTGAGGCCCTCACCATGAAATTCAGGAGTTCTTATCAGAACAATCAGAGGGAGTTTTTTTTTTAAGCTGTCATATTTTCGTGATAGACTCATCCAACCTTTCCAATTCCTCTATACTGTCTTCAGATTTACATCCAAACTTTGAAATGTTCATATTAGAGCTTCCAGTGCAAATGCCAAGCAGTACAGCCTGCAGTTTCCAAATTTCTGGTGGAGTGAATTGCATTATGGTGCTCTTTTACTCAGTTGGTGCCCAACTAACCCTACTATACTGTACAGTCAATAAAATTAAACAATGTACATACACAAAATTAGAAATAAAATGGCGATAATTTACCTCTCGCACCCCCACCTTAGAATCCATTGGTTGTAGTAGGTGAAATGGAAAATTATTAAAGCTACAGTGAGCAACTGATTGGAATGACACTGAAATAACATCTGAATAATGATGCTAAAAATTTATATGAAAAGATTTTGTGTATTAGCAGAATGGTATCAGAATCAGTAATAAATTTTATAGATTATGCACAGCAGTTCTGTATTAGATAAGAAATATGGTATAATAAATAAAATCTAATAATCATTCAAAAGTGACAATGTATATTTATTCAATAAAAATACACATTTTGTGACATTGGACTGCAAAATAAGTCATCACTGACAAAAAGCAGAAATATAGTTTTGGCAATACAGAGATATTAATATTAACACTTACTGAAAAACAATCGGCTTAATTTTAAGAGGAACAATTGGAATGTCTCAACATTGGTAGTTATAAAGATTTCCTATTTTGAAGTGTAGATCGTCACCATATAAAAATACTGTTCTTTTAATGGCTACTTTTAGTAAGCATTATTTATAAGGAATACATTTTAGATCAAGTTTTAAAATTAGGCTTACTTTAGCAATAAGATCTGCTGCACCTTCAGACACATATGCAGGAACTTGATATTTTACTTTTGTAATCCTCTTGTAAGTTTCAGAATGGCCTTCAGCTTCAAAGGGGGGTTTGCCAACAAGGAATTCATAACATAAGACGCCAAGACTCCACAAGTCAACTTTTTCATCATGTGGTCGACTCTCTATCATCTCTGGTGGTAAATAATCTAATGTACCACACAAAGTATTACGTCTGAAATGAAATTATTAAGATCAAGAAATTATTTTAGAATTCAAGACATTAAAGAAAATAACTAACATTTTAAAGAAAGAAACAAGAGTGCTATAAAAAAAAAAAAAAAAAGTCACTAACCTGGAAAGCAAAGTTAAAGTAGTTGTAAACATTCTCACCTAGATGTGGGAGCATGAACAGACCAGCCAAAGTCAGCTATTTTTAGTTCTCCTTTTAATCCTAGCAAAATGTTTTCGGGTTTAATGTCTCTGTGGATCACTCTCTTTTTGTGGCAATATTGAAGGGCATGAGCCATCTGTGCAATGTACTGTGAAGAAAAATAAAAATGAATTAGTTATAAAGAGGGAAACAGTAATTCTATATCAAATTTCTTTATTGTATATAGTTTGTATTTGCTTTTATAAAGCAGCAAATAATATTTTAATATTTGTTCTTTGTGCAAATAAACTTACTGTTGCTGCTCTTTTATCATCAAAACGATTTGCTTTCTGCAACTCTTTGTACAATTCTCCTTGGGGAGCATATTCCAAGATCAAATACACTCTGGTCTTATCATGAAAATATCCATATAAACGAAGAACATGTGGATGCCTGGAAAAAATTTAAAACTTGTTCAAGTTACTAGCAATGATTCACTAAGCAGAATAATACAAAAAAATACAAGTTTTAAGTTTCTATATTAGCTAAAATCTCTTCATGATAGCTCTAAGAGTTTCTAATGAGAGGGAGAATTTTAAATAAACCCATGAATCAATATTTTAGCAGTTAATTTAGACAAAATTTTTGATACAGTAAAACTTTAAAGTGCTAATACTTCCACTACATTCAATGAAACATGTTTATAGATAGTGATTCAAGATAAATGACACAAATTAGCTATAATGTCCTCTACATATGCATATTCCCACATCAGCTTTTACTTGTTCATGTTGGTCATCATATCTATGATGGTAACCTTCAATGAATCTGTGGTATGGTAGGGATACAAATTAGTTTTACTTTTAGTAAAACTGCAGACATGGCCCAGAGGAAGAGTGTTAAAGTCAGGAGAGCTAGAAGGCCACATTTTGGAATTCTAAACTAGTTGATTCTACATCATGTTGGTTGTCTACTAATGAAGCCTGCTCTGGACATCACTTGTCCAACACCTCAATATAAATGAAATCACTGATCTGAGGATTTGCAAAAGGTAACATATACATATAAATAAACACCTGAGGAGAATATCTGGCTAACTGGAACATTTGAGACAGTGGAAATGATTGTGTACATGGGACAGTTTCCAGATAGGTGAGAGTGAAAATTTGGCAGATGTTAATCAACTGTCTAGTGTGATTGCATCAGTGGAGAGAGTTCAATTTACCTTACCCAATTTAAGTTGCAGCTAGTAAAGTCAACAAAATTCTATTACTATCCTTGTACCAAAGTAGAAAAATTTGAATATTAACAAATTTATATTTTGTATATGCAATTATCAAAGTGATATGTTTTGAGTACTGTCAATTCTCAAAGTCTAAAAATTGCAGAAATCTGATCATTGGCCAAATATATTTTTGGGCATATAAATTTATAGATTTTAGATTGTCAACGTGTAGCATAATAAATAATATTTTTAGATTAGGAAGGAAATCTACAAATTTCCATTGACAAAAGAGTGATGAAAAATTATTGAATTTGGCTAAACTGTATACCAGACACTCAGATTCTCTCTAAAAGATCTATTCATTAAAAAGTACAAAATTGAAAAATAAAATCATACATTCACCATTTTTGGAGAGTTGACCTTGTACAAGGTGAAAACATTCTTAATTATATGCCAAAATTTATCTAATAATTTTAGGAGCATTTAAAATTAATAGATCCATTTTTATTCAGCTTACATTTCACATTGAAAAGACCGTTTTTATCAATGTTTATTTATATTCATAATGAAATGCTTTTATTCATTAAAATTGTCCAAGGTATTAAAAGTGAACAGGTATGAATTTATAAGTACCAATTTTAAATATCTTTTGTAATTACCATTATGATTTTTTCCCTACAGTTATTAAATATGCCAAGACTAGGTTATGCTTACTTTATAGATACACAAAAAAAAAAAAAAAAAAAAAAATCATACAAAGTTGTCTACAATTCTTGGCATGAGTATAAAAAAGTTTTTATATATAAACACACAATAAGTCAGCCATTGAATTTGAAGTTATATTGAGGTAAAAATTTTAGCTCAATATACTTAAAATCAATTTAAAATGTAATTGCGCAAATTTAAGATTTACAGAAAAAAGAAAAAACTGGTACCATTTAACAAGGATGAAAACATTAGTCTAAATATCTTAGGTTAAATTTTACTAATGTTCCAATTGCTTCATGTACTACCTGAATTGCTTATTGATGATCATTGACTGACAAGATACTTGCAGTGAAAACAGTCAAGTTATGATAAACAGTTACTGCTTGCATTTCTATTTTCAAGATGAGGCATTATTTTCTGCAAATATTCAAAAGCAACAAGGTCGATTTTATACAAGATGGTTCTGACCCCCCACCCCTAATTAAAATTTGATTAATAACTTTATAGGCTACCAACCTTAAATGAGACTGAATTTCAATCTCTCTTCTCAACTGATGTTCAACACCAGCAGATTGCAACTGAGATTTAAACAATACCTGCAAAAAAGTTTTAGAGAATAATTTATAGTTATCAATATTTGAAGCAGTTAATCTGATTGAATCAAAGACTTTATAAAAAATTTGAAATTGAAATCTTATGATTACCATTAAAGCAAACATTACCTTTATAGGTAAAACCAAAAATAAAAATTATATCCAAATTGAAAAGTCAAAAACTTACTCAACTACTTCAAGAAATGACAGTCAACCTGTCAATATACTTAATTTGGCTGAAAAAGCTTCTGCTCTCAAAAAGAAGCTAACTCTAAAACCTATTAAAAGTCTATACATGAAGTAGTGTAAATTTGCCCAATGGGACTTTACTGCAAATTTGATAAGACACTTTCATATGGAGTTACTCATTTGGCAGTGAGAGGTCACTGAATGAGTATATGCATAGTATGACCATTTCATTATCAATAATATGCACAGTCTTGAGACTTGAAGTCATCCAAAGAAAATATTCAAGAAAATATTCAAGGCTGTTAGGAATAATTTGATGAACAAAGATTTGATAAAATGTTGAATCTATAATTTGTAATTTAAGAAAATTTGCAAAAATGTTCACTACATATCAAAGTACTTAACTGTAGCAAAAAAAAAAAGAAAAAAAAAAAAGAAAAAGAGCCATGCACACACAATAGTGAAAATTAATATTGATGCGTTAAAACCTGTATATTACTATTACAAAAATATTTACCTTCAAAGCAACAATAAATTTGCTACGTTTCTCACGAGCCAAGTAAACATTGCCAAATTTTCCTTTACCAAGAGGTTTTCCAATATCAAAATCATTTAGAGACCATTTAATCCTGAAGAAATAAAATAGTTGCATAAAATTTACAGACACTGCAGAATTGCAATCCATTCTTGATATTTGGCCAAATAAAAATTGAAATTTGTTTAACTGTTAAAAAGGTCATTAGAATTTAGTTTCAACTATATATATATATATATATATATATATATATATATATATATACATACACACACACACAAAGAGAGAGAGATAGTGGAAAAGTTTTTTTTTATTATTATTAAAGATAAAAATCCAGAAGAGTTGCTGAATCTTTGAAGTGAGATTATTTCCAAATGTAGACAAACACTTTAAAACAGTTTTATAACATGTTGCGCCCTATAAAAGTCTGGGCTTGGATTCCCAACATCAGATATGACATTTAAATGGATTGACATTTGTTATTACTTATATATCATTGTCTGTGTTTATGATATATATATATATATATATTAATTTGTTTTGGTGGTCTTATGTGTTGGTATATGTGTACGTATGTAAAATATTCTTTCTAGATAACTGATACATAACAGTTCTGATATTTTATATATGGCGAGTTATATGAATTTAGAATAACTTGCTCACGTAATAGACATACACTTGTTAATCACTCCTTGTCTCTAATTTTTCCTTTCAGTTTGACTACTAAAAAGGTATTTACCATCATGATTTCAATCTAAATTAAAAGGACAACTTTTTTCTTTTTTTTTTTGACATCTAAAAAAAAAAAAAAAAAAAAAAAAAAAAAAAAAATAAAAAAATTGTAGATCTATCAAAGTACTTTAGAATGATATATGAATGAACTTATGAACTTTGTAGGTCCATAAACAACTGAGATATCATCTTTTAAAGTTGGTCACTATTCACATTTTCGTAAAAGGTCAGGTCATATCTCAGGAACCCCTTGACCTTGAGATGCCATTCAATTCCTTTCATGGAGATCTATAAGTGTAGCAAATTTGAAAAAAAATCCGTGTTGGACATGGTATCCCCCCCCCACAAATTTGTTGATTTGACATGGAATGAGCCATATATAGGTAGGTGTGTAATGCATGTGTATGCAGGAATAAATAGGGTTTTTGGTTTTTACAGGATTAAATACTTTTGTTTGTTAAATTTGTAGGGGGAAAATTACATGCTTTTCAAATTGTTCTTGATTACACATTTCTCTTATAAATGTCAATTCATCTTGCATATAGAAATGAGTTATATAATAAAAAGTAAAGTTTTATTTTCAATATATTGGAAAACCTTTAATACAGGCATAGAGATCTTGACGAAACAAAATAATGGAACCAAATTTACCTTGGTAGCTCAATTAGCAAATGTTATGACCATTCAAAGTTTTAAATTTTCCATCTTGTATGCTATTGGACGAAAAGAATTTTTAGAAGTGTATAACTAAAATGTAGGCTTCAAACAAATCGGAAAAATAAATTTCATGTAGATAGTATTGGAGTAAAAAGATAAATACTAATGGAATCAATAATTATTAGATCAGTCCAACATGAACATTGCGAAAATTTCTCAAAAATAGTAATACAAGTTTCATTTCAATAGGCAGCTTCTCCCTATACTTCATACCACAGAGACAAAGCATTTTTTTTTCAGTAGGACAAAAACGTCAAAGTATACTTGAACTTGCCATGAAAAAGTATCTACTGGGAGACACATATCCGAAATTATGAAATTTACTGATTTTGGTATGAGGAGTTCAATAAAACTCATTTTTGTAATATCAATATTTTTTGTAATATAATGCATCTTATTTTGGAAAATTGTTAAAATTATGTAATTTTCAACTTGACAAAAACAGGACAGTAATGACAAAATTTGGTGCTTGTTATACATCTTTAAAGATTTCACAAAACTGTCATACTTGATGACCAAGTTAATGATTCCGTTTCTCAGCAGTAGCTTCTTTTGCCTCTCATTGTTAACAATCCTTTCCCATACATGAAATTTCAGAACTACTTGTTGCAAATGTTTTGCATGCTTTCTTGAAATGTCAAAAACCGATTGCCATTCTGATTTTGCTTCCAGCCAAGCTGCAGCCTGGTTGTGCTTGAGCATGTTTGTAGTTGATCAATGGAGAAGTGATGCAGGTAGTCTTTTTTGTCAATTCAACTTTCAAATATCATTAACACATTTAAATTTTTCTGAGAAATCTTTTTACAATTAGAGAAAAGAATTATCTCTGGCAATGTTGAGTAAAAAGAAAAAAATATTCAAATTTAACCATAAACATACAGAAAGTTTGTCATGAACCATACCAAAAAAATAAATTAATAAAACTAAGACTTGTTGAGTTGTTGCATGCATTATTTAAAATATTTTTTCATATTTGATACATGTTTTAAGAATTGAAATATGTAAAGCTTAATACCATTTTTGTGTATTTTAGAAGGCTACAGCAGTTATGACAGCTAACCTTGATAAAATAAACATTTTTAAACAAAAAAAAAAAAAAAAAAAAAAGAGTTATTTTCCTACAAAATCCAATCAGTTATTTCTAAAATTTTACTAATTTACTTTGAAACAAAAAAGGTTAATACTATATTTTTTAACATATATTTTAACAAATCTTCATTCGTCATCCACAGGGCTCCCATCCATAGAGCTGTGTTTAAAAAAAAAAAAAAAAAAAAAAAAAAAAAATCCAGAACTTTTCAATGGCTATGTTAAGAAATTTTAAGGACTGAAACTGGTGTGGGCGTATGTGCGCGCACGCACACACACAGTGAATAGTCATCAATTTCAAAATACAAACTTATCTTTTAATAGTTTAACAGATGAGAAAAGTTACATTTGTTTCCAATAATTCATGTCACATGGCTCAGCTGAAGAAATCCAAGTGTGGAAGGCTAAAACAATTGAATGCAAACCTAGTTATGCTACACATTTTGTGCAGCATTGTACAGTTTGGAGTTCTACACTTGAAAATGTTGAATTATACACCAATTCTTACAACACATGGTTTGTGATAGTCACAAAAATTCTTGACTGCAGCATATTTTTTATGAAGTTAAGGATAATGGTTTTAATGAACAGAACTAAAAGCAGAAATTTTTATGAACAGACTACACATTTTAGCTACCTATATTCATGGCTTTTGTTGCACAGAACATAAGGTTACTATTTTTTTCAGCTCCTGTTCCAATTTTGATATCTATGGATTTGGACTTTTCACATGGCATTGGACTTGTGAAGTCCTAAGCTTGCACAGCTTTCTCTGAATAGCTGTCAACTGACAAATCTTGTGTGCAACTTTTGAGCTTGTATTTTTGGTTTTCAGATCTTCAATTTCCATAAGTATTGTATTCTGTTTTTGTCCAGCTAGTTCTTCATGTCTTTCCTTCTCAGCCTCAAGGTATTAGTTATATTCAGTTCTGACACTGGACATTGCAATTCTGCATTCAAACAAATCTTTTGATAAGTTACCTATTGGGAGGGAGGGGGGGGAATAAATTTTGCATCGACCTATCTACCAGAAACCCATACTCGATCTTTGCAGCATCTTTATGTATGTTTGGGTTCAACAATTCTTATGCATTCAGTTTGGAAAATATAGTTCTTTTTAGTGTGCTCTTTTACAAATCTTAGTTTCATGATCATGCTAAAAAGATCATCTGCAAAGAAAGTTTATTACTGATATTTTATCAGAAACTTTTTAAAAACAGACAAATCTGCAGTTTCATTTGAAATAAAATGTCATTACCATTTGACAGCACTGCAAAGGACTTGATCTGAGGGACATTTTCCATTTTTTTTTTTTTTTTTTTTTAAAGTAACTGCACAAATTTGATGATATCTGGCCAAATGTCTAGTAATCGTTCACATGTTTGTACATTTTCTAGCCATCTATGGCAGAAATACAAAAGTATAGGGACAGGGTTGCTAGATTGGTCTGCTCACACATCCCTTTCCTCAATTCATAAAAGTCAATATGCCAAATTGCAGAAATCTGGCTTTTTTTGTTTTAGCTGATAATATTTGGCAATTATTACTGATGGTGGTTTGCTAGTGAAGAGACGGGGTTGAACTTTTAATATAAAGTTCAGTAATAAAAGCCAAATACGTTTTATTTCATCATTTTTCACAAGAAAAGTTAGAGATACAGGTCATTATTAGTCTGCAAATTTTAAAAATATTTTTTTTTTCAAAGACATTTTCTATTCTATCATCCTTCCCATCCACATTTTCTTAGAGTCAAATTTGATTCTCATACTTGTTAGTTTACACAGATACACACTGACATGAGATGCATAAAGGCTCTATTTGTTTCAGTATGAACTACCCCACTCTAACTAAAGGACATTTTACTTTCGAAATTGACATGTGAATAAAAAAAAAAAAAAAAAAAACTGATAAAATTCTGAAATGTGTTCTATTACTATAAAATAATTTTTCCTTTCAACTGCAAATTCAATGAGTGAGTTAATTTATCTTTGCTTTTCCTATTTTCTTGTTGAGCGAGAGTAGCATCTAGAAGATACACCTTCATATTCTCACTATTTCTCATCCCCCAGTAGCTTCAAGGTCATGAATTCTTTCTAAGCAAGGAAACAAACCACTGTCAGAAATAATTACTCAAAGGAAGAAGAAGAAGAAGAAGAAGAAAAAAAAAAAAAAAAAAAAAAAAAAAACACAAACAGGACTCCTTGGAGAATGTAAATCAATTTTTTTTCCTAAAAATCTGCTCTGAATCAAAAAGAATAAAACAGACATTAATTAGAAGAGCTTTTAATTGCTTTTATAAATAAGATTTATTAAAGGACACTACTGTCCTAAGAGAGTTTTTTTTTTTTTTGATGAATAATGAATTTAAAAAAAAAAAAAAAAAAAAAGTTTTAATCTAATTATTTTTTAAAAAATCTTAAAATTCTACATTAGAATAATCTCTTTAGGTGATATTGTTATTAAGTGAAAACTATATTTACTAATAAAAATTGAAAAGCTTAAAGCATTTTGGACCAAGATTTAAAAAAAAAAAAAAAAAATTTTTTTTTAATGTAT